TTTTTTTTTTTTTTAAGGATTTGAGATTGAAGGGAAGAAACCGTTGGAGAGAAACCCAGATATTTGCGAGAGGGAAGGTCATTATCACTGTAATTTTATGCATTTGATTTGAATATAAGTATTCCCACCTGCTAGTCAGCATAGTTTATTTCTCCCTGTTCTGCTTGATTTTAATGCATCTTTAGAACTTGAAGGTTTTGACTGTGCTATTTGGGGGCCCCCTAGTGGCCAGTTTAATAATGACATATTAGTAGTAAAATGTTGATTGATCCACTAGACCTGTTATTCCTTATGCAGGTTATTCTTTCTATGAGGATTAGATAGGGTGGGATATACAGTTATAGTAATTAGTGAGGCTTAGTCCTCTTTTATCTATCAAAACTTGTCACCTAAACTTACCGTGATTTTGCTTCCATAGTAAGAACTCATTATTGCGGTGTATCTTTGTTGTAACTGCTAACACATTACTCATTGCCATCATTGTGCTCAGCTCTTACTCTGCAATGTTAGATTTATTGGACCATCATATTCAGTTTGGAGATTGTGAAAGAAAAGCCTAAATTACCAAGCAAAAAGGTTTTGATTATTATGAAAATAATACATACTCATTATTCATCACAATAAGCTTTTAAAATATAGAAAAATTTAAAAAATCATCCTAATGTCGCCTCTCAATGTTTTTCTTTCTAGGGGTTTTTGTATCATAAAATATATCTGAACAATATAAGGAACACCTCTTTAACCACACCTCATTAAAAACAAACAAACCAAGCATGTTCAGTACAATTCAAGCCTTTTGTGTACCTTTACCTATTACATCCTATTCCTCCCTCCTGAAGGTAACCACAATCCTGAATTTGGTGTTTTGTTCTCAGAAGTATTTAAAAATTCACTATTGTAATTTAATGCTGACAGCTGTACTTGTGGTGAACATAGCCTAATGTATAAACTTGTTGAATCAGAATCACTAAGTTGTACAACTTATGTAACACGGAAACTAATGTAACTGTGTGTCAAAGATACTCAAATTATAAAAATATTAAAAAATTAAATATGTCAATGCCCAAATTTATATATTCTTCAGATTGTTTCTTTGATTTAAAATTGTATTTGTGGGGAGCCTGGGTGACTCAGTCGGTTGAGCATCTGATTGTTGATCTCAGTTCAGGTCTTGATCTCAGTGTCATGAGTTCAAGCCCAGCTCTGGGCTCAAAAAAAAAAAAAAATTGTATTTGTAAGATATATCCGTGTTGACCTGTAACTCTTGGCTACTTCTTTTTGCTGCCATATGGTAATCTTTCTCTGAATATTCCATGATGTAGCCATTTTCCTCTTCATGAACTTTTAGCTTCTAAACTTCTTTTGCTTAAAAAGTCTCCCATGATCATTCTTGTACATATATAAAATCCCCAGGGTTCTCTGGAGCAGAAACTTGGAAGTGGAACTCTTTGGTTATGTGGTATGTGTATCCTCAGCTTTACCAAATTGTTTTTCAAAGTGGAATGCTGATTTACTGCTCTACCAGCAGTGTGAGAGTTCCTCAATCTTGGCTATCATTAGACTGCTTTAATCTTTCTGCAGTTCTGTGGGTATGAACAGTATTTCTTAAGAACAGCAAAGAGAAGACTTGTATTACAGGATATTTAAAGCATATACGAAAGCAGAGTGATTACTGCTGTGAACCTCTATGTGTTTCATCACCCTGATTAACACATGGCCCTTCTTGTTTTATCTACACCCTTAATCCCTCTCCCCTCCCAGGGTTCTACAGGAATCTGAGATGTCACCCCATCTCACCTGCAGACACTCATGCATCTCCAGCCCTCTTTCATACATAGCCTTGGTAGCATTATCCCACTGAAAAGTAACAATAATCCCTTCATGTTATTAAATTTAGTTTCTCCAGTTGTTTTGTAATATTTTTACATTTGTGTCTTCAAATCAGGATCTAGATAAGGTTCATACATTATAATTGATCTCAGTCTACAGAGCCCCTCCATTTTCTCGTACAACATCTACCTTGTGACATTAGCAGTCATCAGTGATTTTTGCCTAGAAAATATACTCTACTCATTCGTTGGAAGTTGCAAAATGGTGCTAGTCTATGATTTCCTTTTTGTTTGTTTATCAGCAGGATATCTCTGTAAAGAAAGATTTCTTCAAATAGTTGGTCTTCTTGAGATACTGTTAGTAAAGAAAGAGAGGATAAAATGTCTTTTTCATTCACCAGACTTTTTTAAAAAAGATTTTATTTATTTGATTGAGAGACAGTGAGAGAGGAAATACAGGCAGGGGGAGTGGGAGAGGGAGAAGCAGGCTCCCTGCTGAGCAGGGAGCCCATTCTGGGGCTCCATCCCAGGGCCCTGGGATCATGACCTGAGCCAAAGGCAGATGCTTAATGACTGAGCCACCCAGGCTCCCCTTAATTCACCAGCTTTTGAAACAATTACTTAGACACCAGTATCCTCCCAAGGTCACTGAGAAAGTTTGCTTTAGTTATCTTTGTGAACTCATGCATTGAAACAAATTGGGTGTGTTGCAATCCATTATAGTAATCATTCTCAATGATACTCAGAGTGCTCAACTTTGGCTGATGGGAACTTCTTTAAGATGACCCCTGAGTTCTTCTGACACCACCCTAGCAGCTTCTGGTAGTTTTCTTACTTTCTGGGATGACAAGATGTTTCAGGTTCACCTCGTACATTTCTTGCTCCAGACCTGAGTCCAACAATTTCTCTAAGGAGTTCTGGTCACGCAGCCATCCTCTGCACGGCATATACTGAAATTCCCGTTTCTCAGAAGGAAAGCCAGTGTTCATCACAACATTGTTTACATGGGTAGTTTAGGCAGGGTGAGCCATTCTTATCAAGGAACCGTGGGAAACCTCCTGGAGTCTAAATTCCTAGACGCCAGCCTGGGCCCACCCTGCAGGCCAGCCTTTTTAAGGACAGTAGTCAGAGGCCTGCCGTGTTAACTCTTTTCCGCACAGCTGCCAAGTAGACATTCTGTGGCAGTGAAGTGTGAGTGGAAAGTTGGTTAAGGAGTCAGGAGTTCAGAGGAGAGGTTGTGATGCGGGTGTAATGTGATTCTCATCAGCCCGGAGACAGTATTCAGAGCCTGGAGACAGTAGGGTCACCTAGGGAGGGAGCACAGAGAGAAACTCAAGGATGCGCCCCTGAGCACAAAGTCATGGCCTTGAGGAGCTGGCAGAAGACACTGAGAAAGATTACCCGGTGAAGTAGTACCACGTGGAATGAGGACTAAGAGGGGGTACAATCCCTAAATCCAAATAATAGAGTGTTGAAGAAGGAGGGCGAGGTCCGCAGCGTCAGATGCTGCTGAAAATGGAGAACTGACTCCTCATGGCAGTGTGGAGGTTACTGGGGACCTTGAAACGTGCTATGTCACTGGGGTGGTTGGGACCAAAGCTTGACGGGAGTAGGTGTAAGAGAGAATGGGAGAAGAGGGAGAATAGACAATTCTTTCAAGGAATTTTGCTGCAGAGGGGAGCAGAATGGTTGGAGAGGCAAAGGAGCTGAGGAATAGCAACATGAGAAAAAATAGCAGCACGTCCATTTGTTGATGGACATGCCCCAGGACAGAGAGGAAAATCAACGATCTAGGAGAGAAGGGGAGAGTTTTTGGAACCTGAGGAAGAAAAAGGGAATAAGCTCTAACATCTAAGTAGGGAAGAGATGGCCTTGCCTACAAGCATGGACAGTTCATCCACAGTAACAGGAATGGGGCACAGTCTCTCGTAGGGTAGGGCTGGGTTGGTAGGTCTGTTGTTGAGAGCTTGTAAATAGATGGTAGCATGGTCATCTGCTGCACTTGAGGAGTGAGGAAGCGATGCTGCAGATTCAAAGAGTGAAGAGGTATGGGAACAGTTAGCTTAGTGAGTGGAAAAGGAAAGACAGATTGCGAGGTACCCCCTGGAGGTTAGTGGTAATGAACTTAAAATGAGACTAGTTTTCAGTTGAAGGTTTTTGTTTGTTTTCCTAGTTAATTCTAGCCATTGGGCTCCAGGTGCAGGGATTGAAGCTGGTTAAGGAGGGAAGTGAAGAATGAAGCTGTAAAGATGTGGTCCCTACAGTCAGTCGTAGGTCCCGCGTGTTCAAGGAGTTGCCGAAGTCGTGCATTTAGAGGGAGTAAGTAGGAAGAGGGGAGAAGCTAATCAGAGCCCTGAAAGCTTAAATCAGGGAAGGATGTGCAGTTACGGATAATGGGAGGGTATGCAACTTTAAGAACGGGTAACTGGGGTGAGATGGGCAGTACATTCCCTACAGGCGAGGAGGACAAGGACCCCAGAGGTCGGGGGACAGGAAGGATCTTCCCCCATTGATACTGAAATCACAAGAATTCTAAAATGAGAGAAATTATTAGATTTGGAGAAGGTGACAATGAGCAAATCCTCAAGGATGATGAGAGTGACTGGCGATCCCAGTTGTCATTTCGTGAGGGTTCCCCCTTTCTGTGTACTTCCAGACTTCTCGCACCGCCACACGGACTTCTCGTGATGTGAAAACTTCCTGCCTTTTTACAAAGGACCCTGTACTCTGGTTAAAAGTCCTTAGTCATGCCATGGGTCTGCCTAACTCTGCCTTTTATAGCTGCCGTTTCTTTTGTTTAAATGCTGTCGGCCACAGTGGCTCACTTCCCCAGCAGATGGTCATTTCCTGTTTATAGGCTGTTGGGTTTGGTACATTATTTTCAGAGTATTAGTTTACAGTCACTATTTTCCCCTCCTTTCTGTTTAGGCCAAGAACCTTATCTGTCTCTTGTCCCTGTAGCACTGTGAGAAAGCTCTTGGCAAGCTCTAGGACCAGACCTAGTACATAAAGTTCCTTTGAAAGTCAGGTATTATCAAGTAAATAGGGTGTGAGTCTTCGCTTTTCCATCTCAGGAAATAGGATGCTTATTTAGATGTACTTACGCCAGGTGCCACAGTTAATGACAAAAAGTTTAAATCACAACGGATTCCTTTTCTCTGTGTGTTACAGAATGACTACTCTTAATCTTTGTATTTGTGTTGCCGAGAAGACTGAAGAGTACAGGACAGGAGTCACTAGCTGTGCTAACACATGGGCCCAAGCGCCGATGATGACACAGTCACTTACTTCTACGGCTTGAACAGAGAGCCTCAAGTCTCTCAGGTTTTCGTTTTCTCTCCCTCTTGGTTGGAGCCTTCTATTTTGGTCTTGGGAATCAAGTTCACCATTAAAGGAAGGAGGCCTCAGAGCTACTGAGATAATCTCTGGAGTAAAGAAAACAGGAAATGTAAAGGTGACTAGAGTACAATGAAACAAATGCCTTCTTTTTCCTTCTCTGCTAACTCGTTATTTAAATGTGATTAAACATCATTTGATGTTAGTATACTTAGCTTTATTTTTTTAGAGTCTTTTTTTTAAAGTATCTCATTTATTTTTATTTATTTATTTATTTATTTTTAAAGATTTTATTTATTTATTTGACAGACAGAAATCACGAGTAGGCAGAGGCAGACAGAGAGAGAGGAGGAAGCAGGCTTCCCGCTGAGCAGAGAGCCCGATGCGGGGCTCGATCCCAGGACCCTGGGATCATGACCTGAGCCAAAGGCAGAGGCTTAACCCACTGAGCCACCCAGGCGCCCCTAAAGTATCTCATTTAAGTGGCTGTTTTGATTTCTCCTGATGGTTTCTTGTATATTTATGAAGTTTGTAGTTAAATGGGATATCAGTATAAATAACCTTTATTAATTATGTTTTTGATTCATAGTTTATATGACATTTGCTTTTGGCATATTATTAAGTTAATATCAATGTATAAAGTATCTAGTGACAAAATACTCATTTTAATTTTTTTCAGAAACTATGAGTGGAGGATCTCAAGTCCACATTTTTTGGGGTGCTCCAGTCAGTCCATTGAACATGACCGTATCACCGGAACCACCTTCTTTAAGGTCTACTGAGAAACCCTGGAAAAAAATTCAGCTTTTATACAACCAACATTCTTTACATCTGAGGGATGAAAACTACATACATGGAACTCTTGAAGACCATCCAGTCCTAGAAGCCAAGGGCCCTCCCCATCTTCCTAATGCTCATTTTTTAACAAACTCTACTAGTGAACCTGTTCATGTGAACGAAGACTCTCTACACTGTATTTCTGAAACACAGCCTGTAAAATCCCAGGAGGGTCCCCCTTTAGGGATGAGAGAGAGAACCAGCCCCGATGTGCAAATATGCAGATTTAAGGGCAAAGTTCAGCATTTAACTGAAGAAGAAAAGTTTCCAAAGCTTCTCAGCGAAAATAAGAAAATTACAGATGAAGAGCATAAAGATCAGGCAAATACATGCGGTCGGAACTTCCGGAAGAACTTCTTTCAGTTAGACCATAAGTGCGCACTAGATCTGGTCTGTAGTTCGGAACAGATTAGTACACGGCCGGGAGCGAAGGAAGCCAAGTGTGTGCCCACAGAAGGCTGGCATCATGAGGCACACAGCCAGGGTCTGGAGATCTTTTCCTCGGACACAGAAGATAAGCCAAGGTCCGAAGCTGTTGGAAAGGTCTCTACTGATACTGAATTTCTTAGTATAATGACCTCCAGCCAGGTGGCTTTTTTATCTCAAAGGAAGTCTAAAGGACACAATATTACAAATAAAGGGCCTGTAAACATGGAGAGCAAACCAAAGGCAAGCCATAGGGAAGTAAGAATGCTTGAAGATGATCTGACTCGGCCCAATGAGGACTTTGCAGGAGGATGTGAAAGTGGACAAAACCAAGCTCATTCCCTGGAACTCTTCAGTCCTGTTTGTCCTGAAACAAAAAGTAGTGGCACTCCCATGAAATCTGATAAAGGTCTGGAGGAAGATACAGGATCTCAAGCACTTTTCAATTTCGAAGATAAACCACTGCCCAGTGCTGTACGTATTGAGTCATACAGCTCAGGAATGCCGTGTTCCCAGCAAAACGGCTTCCACAAAAGTCCTGTTAAAAGAAGTTGGACCTTTCCGAAGCTGAAAGAAGACAAGCTGACCCATTCCAGAGCTCTGTCTGAAGTCCTCCCACCATCCAAGAAAATTAAGTTGGTCTCTGATGCTGGAGATCCCACTGCAGCAATGGACCAGAGGAATGTGTCTACACTTAAGGGGATTAAAAAAACATCATTAATAAAAAATTGTGATTCTAAAAGCCAGAAGTATAATTGTTTAGTCCTGGTATTATCTCCATGTCATGTGAAAGAAATAAGTATAAAGTCTGGACCAAATTCCGGCTCTAAAGTGCCTTTAGGAATAATTGTGGTAACGGACCAGTCAGGAATTCAGAAGAAGGTCTCTCTGTGGAGGGCCGCGGCATTTTGGGCACTTACAGTGTTTCCTGGAGATATAATTTTGCTCACAGGTAAGGTCATTGTGGGGTAGTGGTAGCTTTAAGCTGTAGGCTTCCCCCAGCTCCCACTTTAGGCCTTATTACCATTTTCCCGCTTTGGGAGGCAGCATGATCAATCTCTTTCCAGTGTCCTTACCATCGCCTGGTATCCCATGTCCCTGCCATTTCTGGGCCTTTACTCTAGACCTTCTTAGTTCTTTCCCTCTTTTCTGCTCACCTTGAAGAAGCCTTTCCTGGTTGCTTCTCCCCTTTATTCACTATGTGAGCATTCAGGTCATATCATCAGGTTCTTTCTTTGTTTCCTTATGGCTTTGTCTACATACGTCTTATTTTTAAGTGTTTTCTTGAGCTGTGTGAGCAGTCTTATGATGAAAGGACAGCATTTCTACTACGTAAGCCCTAATAATGCTGTGCACATCACCTTCTTATTGAGGGGACAGAGAGAGAATTTCTATTGTGTTTTTAATTATTAAAATTATACTCTCATTTGGGAATATGAGAAGGAAAAACTGCTGGTATTAAACCAACCTCACACCACCACCAGTAGGGTTTTGGAGTGTTACCTTCCAGTTATCTTCTGTCTGCTCCTTATAACATGGATACATACATATGTAATAGTTGATATTTATTAGGAACTTACTTTGTGTCCAACCCTGTTTTATATGTATTTATTTTTTAAAAAGATTTTATTTATTTATTTGACACAGATAGTGAGAAAGGGAACACAAGCAGGGGGAGTGAGAGAGGGAGAAGTAGGCTTCCCGCCGAGCAAGGAGCCCGACACGGGGCTCAATCCCAGGCCCCTGAATCCATGACCTGAGCTGAAGGCAGACGCCTAATGACTGAACCACCCAGGCGCCCCCACAACCCTGTTTTAAACTTTATGTGTGTATCAATTCATTACAACAACTATATGAAGAAGGTACTGATTATTAGACCCATTTTTCACTTTGAGGAAATGGAGCCCCAGGAAAGTAAAGCTGTGTATCCAGTTTCACACATCTAGGAAGTGGCAAAGCCAGGATTTCACCTAAGCTCCAGAACCTATACTCTTACTATAGAGTTGTAATCATAAAGAACATTGAGTTTTTATCCTGCTGCTTTCTGACATAAGACATCTAACATTTTTTTTACATGTTCTTAATTAATTGAAAATACACATGTATTAGAGCAGAGATACCAATCAGCTTAAGGATGAATCCCAGAGTGGGAGGAAGCTGATTAAGTTCAATAATCTATCTAAAGAAAGAATGTGGTAGAGAAGCAGAGTGGGGTGAGCCTCAGAAGCTTGGGAAAAGACAACATCAAGGCAGTCCTTGGTGGTTCCTACCAAGTGGTTTGCTGGGAGAACGAGAGCCTTGCCTATTAGACCTTAGGTGCACAGGTAAGACTCTCAGGTGCACCCTCTCCTGAAAAGATATGTGGGATTGTAACCGACAAGGTTAGCGTGGTCCCCACCCACTTGCAATGCCATCTTATTTGTTGGTAAGTCAATTCATCTAGCTCCCCTATTCTGATTCAGTGCTCACCAAGCACCCTTTGCTTACCATTTGCCTCTCCAGCTATAAACCCACCTGCCTCCATGAGAGTGGGCCGCTAATGCAGTTTCTGTGGCAATTAATACTCCATTGTAAATTTTAAAATGGTGTTGTGCTTCTTGTTTGTCTCATTAACTTGTTTAACAGGAGCTTATGTTGCAGAGCCGAAATCTATTTTTGGGTTCCCGACAAAATCAGATTCCCAGACTATCAGGAGACAACTGGGCCCTGGACCATGGTCATGTTTCCAAGGCAATTCCCATCACTGGGTGAGCCTCATAGGAGGACATTCCTGGCAGATGGAAACACAAGCCTGCCATCCCTGTGTTTTTCCCTGGTGTCCGTACAGTTAGGTAACCTTCTATCAAGTGCCTTGATTGGTTTCCCTAGCCATTTTCCTCTTATGGGGTATTTAGATTATTTCTATGAGCACCTTTTAAAGAAATCAGGTTTTCTTCTTTCTGTTTTGCCTTACTTCCTTAGCAAAAAAAGTATTCTAGTTCACCAATTTCTGCATGGGTTTCTTTTGCTTGTGTGGACAGATGGAAACTTCATGGAAAAAAGAGAAATCCATACTTCCCCCTTGTCCTAATTAAGTGCTGAAATTATACATACATAGAAATTTGTGGGTAAAATCCCATTTTAATTAACAGTATCGAATTATATACATCATTATACCTCCATGTTGGATATCTAATATCTACTGACCTATAACCCCAAACTGAACTTGTTTCCGCAGCAGATGTATTCCAGCTCACACTGTGTTCAGTGACACAGTGGACGTTTTGCCGTTATAGTTGTAGCACTAGGCATGAAGAGGTGCTGTAAGTAAGAACCGTCTAAGGGAGACTGCGGGCCAGAGTTCGAAGACGACCTCACACCGAACTGTGGAAAACCATAGGTTTTCAGAACAAACAAGAGAGGCTCTAGGGCATATCAGTGAGAGCGAATCAGGAGAGCCAGGAGGCAAGGGCTGAGCGGTGAATTCCACTCCACCCTATCACTCCTGATTAGCAAGTCCCTAACCCAACCTACGTTTACAATCTCATTTCCCAAAGCCTCTCCTTGAACTTTCTGACATGTTTCTTTCTGAAGAGCAGACATCCTGATGGTCAGATTATGAGAAGTCTAGAAGGCAGTGCTAGCTGTTGCTGGCCAGGCAGTGGGCGGCTGCTGAGTTCTTTCTAAACCAGTCAACAGATCACATTAATGTTCTTGAGAAATCGCTCATTAGCACTGGGGGACATGGATTGGAGGTGGGAAGGGGACCTGCTAGGAGAGAGAGGAATGTATGATATAAAACGGTCCTGGCAGGGCCATGGGGAGACTCAAGAGGCAGAATCAACAGGTGGGGGTTTGGAGACAAGGGTGGGGAGGGAGAGGTAGACACTCAGGTTGATTTCATGTTTGAATTTACCTGGTGGGTTCCAGAGTGCCCACAAGTGAGATGCGTCCTATGAGAAGAAGAGCAGGTTTGAGCATTGCTGAGTTTGGGGGGCCGGTAGAATATCCAGGCAGGGATGTCCTTTTGGCAGTTGTGGGTAACGGGGTAAATGGTTTTAAAGATGGAGAGAGGGTCTGGGTATCAGTTTGGAAGTACTGGGAACGTGTGCCTCCTTGTTTTTCCTTCTTATTATCTCAAAAACTTGCTGCTATTAGGATATCTTTATACCTCTAGCGTTTTATGCACTGATCATATCTTGCCTGGGGTTGATATGTCTCTGTCTCTAACGTACAGTTTTTGCTCTACTTGGACTTGTTTCTGCCTGTTGGTATATTTAGTTCCACTCTGATTCTTCTCTAGACATCTTAGATCATAGATGACCTATGATCTACATCCCATTGGAAAGTGTTCCTTATCTCCCAGATCCTTCACTTTTAACATCTGGAGATGAAGATTGCTTTTAATTAAAGATAACTTTAATTAAAAAATAATTAAATTCCTTTGAGAATGTCTATATTCATAGGTATTTATAGCAGAAGGGGTAAATGCATACTAAATATTATTTGCTCTTCTAGGCACTACTGCTTTGGAACCATTACTTTGCTTCCTGGCTCAAATGTTTTCCTTTTAATTTCTCAAAATAGACGTTAGAGCATTTCTTTTATGTAAACAAAAGCCATTAAACCATTCATTGTGGAGCAGTGAGCTTCCATACTGATACTGTTCAGATATACAGAAGCAATTTTGTTAGTGCTATTTTATTATTTTGTGTCTTTAGGCAGATCATTTGACCCACCTGAAATTCAGCTGAACTTTAGTTGCCTGGCATGTGAGAGACATGCATAATATTTTGCTATGATTGCTAAGTTAATTACAGTGTGAAGGAACGTATGGCATGATCAGAGGAACTTTTTTTTTTTCTCCTTTCTAGATGTTACCATTCATGAAAATCATTGGATTGGTGAGACAGTACTACAATCAACATTTACCAGTCAGTTATTAAATCTTGGAAGTTACTCATCTGTCCAGTCTGAAGAGTGTAAGACATTTTAAATATAATAACTTCTTAGTATTTAAAGTATACACACTGTTTTCTTATATTAGAAAAAGGAGCTAAAGTGTTACTCATCTGTCCAGTCTCAAGAGTGTAAGACAACATTTTAAATTAATAATTTCTTAGTATTATAAAGTATATACACTTTTCTATATTAGAAAAAGAAGTTAAAATAGTAATTTTATGAAATGTTTTCTTTCTTTTTTTTTTTTTTAAGATTTTATTTATTTATTTGACAGAGATCACAGGTAGGCAGAGAGGTCAGCAGAGAGAGAGGAAGGGAAGCAGGCTCCCTGCTGAGCAGAGAACCCGATATGGGGCTCGATCCCAGAACCCTGGGATCATGACCCAAGCCGAAGGCAGAGGTTTTAACCCACTGAGCCACCCAGGCACCCCTTAAATGTTTTCTAAACAGGTTAGTTGGACAGTGTTGGTTTATTTTCTTCAGTAAGAATGAAACTAGAATTTATAAAAATAAACATGTGCATTGCAAATCATAAATCTTTTAAGAAATATTAGGGTTCAGATTCCATTTTCTTACTTTTCTTAGAGTCCACATAGTAGTGATTCTTAACCTTTTAGAGAGTCATAGCTCTCTTTGAGAAGCTATGTCCCATTTCTCCAGAAAAATGGACTTAGGTAGATAGAAACAATATTTTTTAAAAAAGATTTTATTGATTTATTTGACAGAGAGAGGTCACAAGGAGGCAGAGAGGCAGGCAGAGAGAGAGGGGGAAGCAGGCTCCCCGCTGAGCAGAGAGCCCTATGCGGGGGGCTTGATCCAGGACCCTGGGATCATGACCCGAGCCAAAGGCAGAGGCTTTAACCCACTGAGACACCCAGGTGCCCCTAGAAACAACATTTTTCAAATAATTCCAAATGGTTCCATGGACCTCTGAAGTTCTTTTGTGGGATTCCCCAATCTCTGGTTACGAAACCTTAAGGTACTGAGAAAAGCATGGGCCTTCTAGTCAGACGATTGTGGTTTGAATCCCTGTTCTTCAGTCCACCACTGCTAGGAAAGACTACCTACCTTCTTTGACATCCATTTTTCTCTTCTTTAAAGCAAGCTATTCAGTGAAGAGCCCAGCAGTTATCCTTTTCTCCAAGAGGTTAAAAAGGAAAACAAAGTAAGAGAGACAGTATAAATTGGTAATTATTGTCTCTGGAGTCAAATAGAGCAGGATTTGAATCTTGGCCCTACCACTTCCACCGTCCGTGTCTTCCAGCAAGTTACTTAACCTCATTGTACCCCTGCTTCCTCTTGTGTGAAATGGAAATTAAAAAATATATATAGCTTATAGACTTGCTGTGAAGATTAAATGAGAGAATGAATATGAGGTATTGTACCTACATGTAGTATATAATAATATAGTAGTATCAATGGGAGAAGTAATAAGCAAAATATATTTGTTAGAAAACTGAAACAGTGTCATAGAAAAATAGCTATATATAAAATAGCTATATATATAAAAATACACTGATTATACAAGAGATTAACTGGAATGACAAGTAAGTTGTATATGGCATATATGGAAGATATAGCATGGAATTCCAACCCATGAATAATAAGAATTCTCAAAGAAAGGCAGGGTCTTTAAGCAGAAGAGAACAACAACAATGGTGTTTGAGAAGGGTAAGAATTCCCCATATCCTAGGAAAGCTAGTCAGTGGGAAATCAGCTCTGACATAGTCTCATAAAATAACTAAAATTGGGGCGCCTGGGTGGCTCAGTGGGTTAAAGCCTCTGCCTTTGGCTCAGGTCATGATCCCAGGGTCCTGGGATCAAGTCCTGCATTGGGCTCTCTGCTTGGCGGGGAGCCTGCTTCCTCCCCTCTCTCTCTGCCTACCTCTCTGCCTACTTGTGATCTCTGTCTGTCAAATAAATAAATAAATAACCTTAAAAAATAACTAAAATTGAGCTCTTCATCTGCCCAGTTTATACATATTAAGTGGTGACATTGTTTGAGGCAGTGTGCGCTGGGGGTCCACCTGGTGCTGGCCTTCATGGCGCTCGTGTTCATGTGTGGAGGACAGACAAGAAACTAAAGAGACATGCAAATATAATATTTGCAGATGATAATGAATGCTCAGAAGGAAAGTAACAAAGGGCAGGATGGAGAGTACCATAGATCTGGTTGTGAAGGGCTGGGCATGGAACAGAATCAGGGAATTAGGAGGTTATTAGAATAGTTGAGGTTGCGAGATAATGGGCAATCAGTGGAAATAATGAGAAATGGATGGATATGAGATATAGCTTAGATAGACCAGTTTCTGTAGAAGAAATGGAGAAAATTATTAAGGAACTACCATAAAAAAAGCTGCAAAGCCCAGACAGTTACACAGGAGAACTCTATCAAACCTTCAGAGACCAGATAGTTCCAATGCTCTAAAAATTATTCCAGAGTATTGAAGAAAGAAACTTCCTAATTCCTTTTATTAAGCAAATATAACACTGACACCTAAACCAAATGAAGTCATTACAAATAAAAATATAGACCAGTATTATCCCTGAGTATTCATGCATGAAGTCTAAACAAAATATTAGTAAACAAAATCTGACACTTCATTAAAGAAATAATGATCAAGTGAGACTTTTTCCAGAAATGGAAAGATATGTTCAATATTAGAATATCCATGAATTTTGTATACCATACCATAAAGAAAAAAATATATAATTATTTCCATAGAGGTTGAGAAATGCTTTGACAAAATTTAACAACCATTTACCATAAGAAGCACTCCAGGGAATGGAAATTGAAGGATACTTTCTCTTTCAATATCAATAAATACAGTATCAATACAGTGTTACAATTACAATGCAATTGGTACTGTGTCAATAAAGTTAGATGTATTTAGTCCTAATGCCAGCATCATATTTAATGGAGAAACACCAGAGGTATTTCCACTAAAATCAGGAACAAGGTAAGGATGTCCACTATCTCTGCTACTCATCATCACTATACTAGAGTTATCAACCAGTGCAGCTAGACAAGAAGAGGTATCTGAGTGGGTGAAAAAGAGTAAAAACTGTATGTACAAATGGTTTGATAACATATCTGAAAAACTTCAGGGTATCAAAGATAAACTAAATTCAAACAATAAAAGAATTCAGTGGCGTTAACAGGAGATGAAAGTTAATGTTAAAAGAGTCAGCAGCCTTCCCATACACAAACACTAAGCGGAGGGCATAAGGGGAGGGAAGAGCTCATCGGCAAAACCAGTAAAGAAGGTACTTCAGGGGCGCCTGGGTGGCTCAGTGGGTTAAAACCTCTGCCTTCGGCTCAGGTCATGATCCCAGGGTCCTGGGATCGAACCCCACATCGGGTTCTCTGCTCTGCAGGGAGCCTGCTTCCTCCTCTCTCTCTCTCTCTGCCTGCCTCTCTGCCTACTTGTGATCTCTGTCTGTCAAATAAATAAATAAATAAATAAATCTTAAAAAAAAAAAAAAAGAAGGTACTTCAGAATAAAGTTAACAAGAAATTTGCAAAACCTGTGTGAGGAAAAAATTGTAACTACTCCAGAAAGAAATAAGGACATGAAGAAATGGAAACACAGCATTCCCTATTCATGGATAAGATGACTTAACATAATGGTATCAGTTCTGCATCACTTAATTCATAAACTCAGTGCTGTCTCAATAAAAATATTAAGAAGCTGTGCTATGGCATTTCCAACTTGATACTAACATTCATATGGAAAAACAAAGAGGCAAGAATAGCTAGGAAAACCCTGAAAAAGAAAAAGTACGGGAACCACGCTTACCAGACAGGCTTTAAACTGTAAAGCCTCTATAATTAAAACCATGTGATGCTGGTGCGTAAATAGACAAGTGAATCAGGGGAATAGAACAGTATGATTACAATCAGACCCATACACATATAATTTAGTATATGACAAAGATGTTATCTGAGGTCACTGAGGTAGAGGCTAACTTTTTAATAAATGGTGGTGCGGCAACTAGGTATTCATTTAGAATAAAGACAGAATTAGAACAATATCTCACATGAAATAGAAGGATATACTCCAAATGGATTAAGAATCTAAATATAAAAAATAAAACCATTAACTACTAGATGGAAACTTGGGTGAATTTCTCTATCATCTTCGTATAGAGAAAACTTTCCTACTATTCAGAATCCAGAAATAGCAAATGAAAAGGAAAAAGAACAATAAATCTGACTATAGAAAAAATAAAATTTTGCATGACCAGTAGCATCATAAACAAAGTTAGAAGAGGGGCACCTGGGTGGCTCGGTGGGTTAATCCTCTGCCTTTGGTTCAGGTCATGATCTCAGGGTCCTGGGATTGAGCCCTGCATTGGGCTCTCTGCTTACCAGGGAGCCTGCTTCTCCTTCTCTTTCTCTCTGCCTGCCTCTCTGCCTACTTGTGATCTCTGCCTGTCAAATAAAAAATAAATAAAATCTTAAAAACAAAAAAACAAAGTCAAAAGACAACTGGCAAACTTGGACAGAATATTTGCAACATATACCTTAGACAAAAGGCTGATATTCCTAATACAGAGAGAACTCCTACAAATTGAGTGACAAAGGACCTGATAGGAAAATGGAAAAAAGACATGAGACATTCAAATGACAGCTACACAGATATATCATTTCCTGCTATCCAACTGGCAAAATTAAAAAAACAGGACGGCATGTGCTGTTGATGAGGCTGCAGGGAAACAGGCCCTCTTGTACATTGCTAGCAGGCATGAGAATTTCCACACTTCTTCTGGCGGGGTATAGCGATCCCTAACAAAAGTACTTAGTACTCAGCTTTCTGCCCAGGAAGCCTACCTACAGGAATCTATCCTGAAGCTACAACTACAACACTGTGAGAATACGTATGCACAAGGTTATTCAAGGCAATGCTTATAATTGCAAGACCCTGGGAAAAATCAGAATGCCCCAGCATAGCAGAATGAATGAGCAAATTGTGGTACCTTTCCACAGTGAAATACTATGCAGACATGAAAAAGAAAGAAAAAGAGTTCTGTGAACTGATAGGGAGTGATTTCTGGGACATACTGTTACATGGAAAGCACAAAGCTCAACAAAGTATATGTAGTATGCTAACTTTTGTATAAGAAAGGGAGGAATAAAATATATGTGTATCTCCTCATTTGCAAAAAAAAAATGCAGGAAAGAAAAAACAGAAACTAAAGAGATGAGTTACCTACAGAGGGGGGTGGGAAAAGGGGCAGAAAGAAGGAGGGAATGGAAAATAGCGTATCATTGAGGAGGAGGGAGTAACACTTCTCTGCATGGATCTTTTTGTGTAGCATTGACTCACCGAATCACACCGATGCTTCCCATACCCACAGTAAGCCATCAAAACCAGATAAAATGCAGTGGAGGGGGAAGCCCAAAAGGAATACCAACACTAACAACTGAACCTAACCATACTACAAATAAATAAAATGACTGCACAGGAGGGTGGGAAAGAAAAGATCAAATCTCAGTAACAATGGAAAACAGTGAATGGACTGGATTCCGCAAGGCCAAGGGCAAAAGGACAGCATGGGTGCTGCAGTCTGGTTAGTAGAAGTGCATCTCAGAGGGGCGTGGGTTGCCAACAGCCTGGGGACTGGAAGCAACAAAAGGAAAAGTGAGTTTCCAATTTGGGAATTTCCTTAAAAGATGTTAAGTGTAATCTTTTATTATGAGTATTTGAAGTTGCCACATCCTTGGAGAGCATATTTCCATGGAGCCGAATGGGTTGTAAGTAAAACTCACCTTATTTAATAGATGTTAATATAAGAGAAGAGTAGGGAATGTTTTGAAATCATGAAAATAACATGGTATGCAAATATTTCGCAAGGGATTAGGGAGATAAATGTTGTAGGTAGAGTTGGCTTTAGGACTGATTTGTATTCAAGTAAGGCTGATCTGTTTGAGTCATTTCAGAAAAACCTTAGGACCTAATTCTAGGTGAAGAATATCACATGGAACCCCTGGGAAGCTCCAGGTTTTTGTAGAACAGAGAGAAAAACCTTGAACTAGTTAGAGAACCTTTAAAGCTTACTTCAAATTCTTTCTTCTTATACTTACATAGGAATTTATATTGTCGTTTTTCACAGGATGGTAGCTAATGTATATTCTAAGTCTTTTTTATTTGATTTAGGGGAATGGTGATCAGTTGATACTTTGAGAATATTGTAGTTGTTTTTCTTCCGAAAGAATAAATCAGTTTGGTTAGGTTTTTTTTTTTTTTTTTTTTTAACAAGTACTTACAGCTCAAGAGACCATTCTTCTGATCAATCTATTGTGCTTTGGAGAAGACTTCTGTTCTTTCCTCATTACATATGGCAGGACATAGATTTATCTGAAATATTATTAATTGAAATGATTAAGGATATAAATCAAAGGTTAATACAATGTTTTCATTGTATTATGCAATATGTAGACTATATTCATTGGAATTTAAGTAATCCCATGTTTCTGTATTAAAAATCAGGGAAAGTAAATACTTGGATATCAGGGATCTTTGTATTTTCCCCAAAAAGCTCCACATTAAGACAAAGAATGAAGCCCAGGGAAGTTATGTACAAGTTCTCAGAACTCATTGTTGACAGAGTCAGAATTTGAACCTGTTTGAATTTTGATTCCACATGTGCCGGAAATATTGCAAAAGAGGGATCAGGACGTCTGGTGAATGAATTGGAGCCCTGGATGGAGCTACTTGGGAGTTGGATTTTGCTGTAATCTAATGGGGGGGTCTTATCTCTTCCTCTCTTGCTCTCATTTCTCTTTCATGTCTTCTGTTCTTTTCTCTTACGTTCCTTGTCTTTGTTAGTGATATCACTGTAGCTTCAGAAAAGTCATTGAGAAACTGAGTCATCTAACTAGAATGGACTTCAGGTATCAGGTTCTAAAAACCTTAAAACATTTGTTTTTATCCATGCACTCATCTGTGCAAGGAAACTTGATGCCATCTTTCATCTTTTCTGTGAGCTCTCCATCTCATTGTTTCTTGGATTCCACCTCCTGGACTGTTTACAAATCTGTCATCCCTCATCCCCTTATGCAGTCTTGTCTGGTTCCCAGCGCTCATCGTCTCCCCCCGGATGGCCCCTGGCCTCCTAAATGTCCTTCCTACTCTCCCTTCTGTGAAAATTGATTCCTCCATAATAAAGGGTCCGTGAACTTGGATGCGAAGGCATTACATCTTTACTTTCTCTGAAGCTAACTGAAAACGAGCACTTGCTTCCATTATGCACGAGGTGGCAATCCGCAGTGATATTAGCGTCCTTGGGGCTTGGTCACCAGTGGAAGGCACACACACTTTCATATCTTGTATCACAGTTGCTGACAATGACACGAACATCATTTATGTCCCTCACTACTTTGAAATTACAGTAGTCGTTACATATGCATTATGTATTGTTATTTAATGTACTAATGAGGCACAGATTACCTGTTTAAAAATATTGGATTGTTATATTTCTATATAGTTGGTTTTGCAATCTTATTTTATGCGTTGAAAAGTACTATTTTGTAATGAAAATGCTCTAAAATTAGATAATGATAGTAGTTGTACAACATTGTAAAATACTAAAAAAACACTGAATCACACACTTTTTTTTGGAATCATACACTTCATTTTTTTCTAATTCTTTTTGATTTTTTTTTTTTTAAGTAGGCTCTGCACCCAACATGGGGCTTAAACTCACAACCTTGAGTTTTAGAGGTGTGTGTGCTACCAACTGAGCAAGCTAGATGCCCCAAATTATACACTTTAAAAGGGTGAATTTTATGTATGTCAGTTATAGCTCAATGAAGTTATTTTACAAAAAATATGATTCTGGTAATGGATTCACATGTTTCGTCAGATTACCAGAAGCATCTGTAATATGTAAAGGAATACAGATCCCTTTCCCTTTACCCGGAAATACACCCCCTCCTCCATTTACTACCTAGAAAACTCTAGGACATTTTTCTAAAACCCAGCTCAAATATTCCTTCAATAAAGCCTCTTCCAACTTGCCTGGGCAGTTGTTTTCATGTGTTTTGGGGAAGGCTTACATGTATCTCCTATCCTAAGCCCAGTGTTTGTTATTGACTACCTCAAGGTTGCTAATTCCTTCAGTGTGGGTATCATGACAAGATACGTCTTTGTATCCGTAGCACCTGGCATAGTGCCTGGCATGTAGTGGATGGTCTCCTGATGAGAGAATGAATTATGAGGCTTTAGTGTAGCATCAGAAATACACAAGGATGAAAATGTTAATGGGAGAAGGAAAGAAGAATCATTTTATTTTTCTTCCTGAAATCAGCAAACAGACCCAACAATCTACTATATATTCAAATATGCTTCCCTTACTTCAGGGAAATTAAAATTTAATCAGCAAACCTCATCCTTCTGTCCATTTAAAATGTGTGCATTTTATTGTATGTAAGGTATACCTCAAAAAATGAGAAAAAATCGAAACAAATAATTAAGAAACAGAGGAAAACATCTAAATGACATAATGACCAAAGAACTAAACAACTGATCGAACAATCATGAGAAATATTACAATGTGGCACACGCTTCAAGGCCACATGAGAGCTGGAGAGAAAAGCTTTCTATGGGAAGGAGTTGCTGGGAACCTCTTTATGGTGGTGTTTTTTCTGGGTGGTATTTGCGTAGGTAGAGTCGATGAGAGCATTGCAGCCAGGGAGAGTGGTGAGGGCAAAGGCTTGGAAGTGGGGAAGAGGAAGGCATGTTCAGGGAAAGAGGTGACTCTTAAGTATATTTCAGATGAGAAACGTAAGAGTCTTGAGGAAGAACGGCAGCAGCTGGGATGGGCAGGGAAGGTGTGAGCAAATCAGACTGCAGGGATTAGGGGGCACTGATTGGGTATAACCGGGTAATGGAGGAGTCAAAAGAAGTAACCAAAACACTGGTCTTGGTTACTTGGTAGAAAAATGATATTATTATTATTATTTTTAAAAGATTTTATTTATTTATTTATTTGACAGACAAGGGATCACAAGTAGGCAGATAGGCAGGCAGAGAGAGAGAGAGGGGCACGCAGGCTCCCTGCTGAGTAAAGAGCCCGATGTGGGGCTCGATCCCAGGACCCTGAGATCATGACCTGAGCCAAAGGCAGAGGCTTAACTCACTGAGCCACCCAGGTGCCCCGAAAAATGATATTATTAACAAAATAGAGAAGGGAACTGGTCAAGTTGTTTTGGAGATGGTAAATAATTCTAATTCCCTTGGTTAAAAACATCCTTATTTTTGCACCTAAATATTTAAGAAAAGTTTACATATTTTTAGATATGAAAGCATATTTTACATTTAATCACCCTTTACAACATAAAATACATTTCTAAGAAAGTATTGTGTTGTTAACAAAATATAATTTTGCCATCTTTCATACATGTGCATCTCTTTCTTTCTTAGTTTCCAATATAGTAAATGATGTTGTGCTTCGAGACTTACTGGCATACGTGACTTCAAAACATTCTTATCTCAGAGATCTTCCTCAGAGGCAGCCTCAGAAAATGAACAGTATAGAATTTGTAGATTTGGAGCAGCTGCAGCCGGACACACTGGTCCATGCGGTACTAAAAGTAGTTGATATCACTGTACTAACAGGTAAGTATTTGGGGGCTGTCTTAGTTTTAGATTATAAAATAGTTAAGATATAAGACTTTTGTAGCGTATCATTTGGTTATTACTATTATATTTATCATTGGACATTAAGGTAAGGTGTCCTATGTGCTAAAGTAATGCCAGCTGAACTATTTCTTTTCCAGAGGCATTATACAGTTATAGAGGACAGAAGCAAAGGAAAGTTATGTTAACAGTGGAACAGGTCCAAGGTCAACATTATGTGCTTGTATTATGGGGTCCTGGAGCAGCCTGGTACCCTCAACTTCAAAGGAAAAAAGGTAAATATACCAAAAAGCATTTAACCTATTTATAGTTAGGTAAATGATTAATGCTTATGAGCCTAAGATGAAGAGCATTTTAAGAGATTAAGATAGACAACATTTGAAATAGTAGGTGATCAAAATTGAATATTTATCCTTGGAATTCTTCTGTTATGATTTTATACCTCCTGTAAGCAATTTTGTTATCTAAAAAGTCTTCTGTAATTAATGGAGGCAAAAGAAAAGCTTCCATTTATTCCCAGGTTTACTACTTTACCTTTTTAGTGAAGATCTTATCTCCTCCAGAAAATGTTCTTTAAAAATTGAAATCTGGAGATGCTCCTACAGATTTTATTCAGCCAGAGTCTCTGATAAATAAATGTCTCTCTGGTTATAAGGCAGATGTTAGGGAAGCTGCATTAACCCTTTCAAGTCTCAGTGTTACTGCTTTATAAGTTAGTATATTCCAGCTGTATACATTAGTATGTATACCAGTTGTTTTAAAAGTGTGGACTATTAGCCATCTATAGGATGTTCATGTTTAGAATATGACCCATGATTACATTTTTTCTTTAAAGCATGAGTTACTAATAATTTTATGATGAAATTAATTAAGTGGCATTGATGTTTCAATAAAATAGTATACTATATTCATTTCGATATTATGAGATCCTTTCGTTCTAACAGTCAGAGGTAGTGTGATTAGTGGCTTATGAGTTATTTTCTCCTGCTGAATTAATCCAGAGATTGATTAGGTGTGTCTCATTCTTCTTTACCTGAAAGAGTTACTGTCTCTTCCCAAACTTCTACCTACAAAATGGTTATCAGAGGATGGGATCTGTCACATTCTCTCTCTTAATCATTAATAGCCTATAACCAGGATTTGAGATAAGTCTGACTTTTGACTTTTATGTTAGGATCAAACAGTGACAAATATTTGTTCGGTTGGGAAATCTGACAAACGTGTCGGTGGTAGGCTGACCATCGCTATTGACCACTCTGTCATAGCCGGGAACACGAGTCTAGTGCGTGTGCGACAAAATGCGGGTCAGAGGTGCTCTTGGCTTTGTGATGGGGCCGTAGCAGACTGCTCCTTGCTTACTATGGATATTCTAAAAGTCGTGGTTATTCAGCTAATAGAACAAACATTCTAGTTCTCTCTAGATACTTTTATGGTATTTAGGTTACTGTTGGAAATTTGGGAATCCGGGAATTAAGATACATTTGTTCTTTATTCATTCATTCATTCATTCATTCAGCATATTTTGTTTATAACCATCATTCTTAAGTTTTGATATCCACCTCGGTACCCCAAAGTTACTCTTTTCAAAACAAGAAAGTACTAATTTTGAAGGCTCATCTAAATAAGTGATTCTGCTTTCAGAAGCTGTTAGCATTTTCTCTATTCATTTAGTATTTCTTGAGGTGTTCCCTGTATTAACCTCCATACTGGGCGCAGGCTTTCCTTGTTCCCGGAGATAACAAACTTACTTGATACGATCATCAAGTAGTCATTGTTGAATACTGGAGATCACAGAGTTGATGTTTTGGGGAGGGATAATAAGTCCCCAATTCACATTCTTTCAAAATTATGCATGGAAGTTTGTAGCTAGGATTGATCACAATTTAGGCCCTAATGAGGGTGGACTAGAGGCATACCCTACACTTCTTAGGAATAATTGGGTACATAAAATAAGCTAATCAGAACTAAATGCCTTCCAATGCAATATTCTTAAAGCATTTAATAGAAGTCTAATATTTTAAAAATATAACAAATTATAATAAAGTACTCTTGTGACATTACTAATTAAGCACAGAGTAATGCAAATGGTCCCAATGTTTGTAATTATACTTAATGCAAAATCGTAATTACATCTGTATGGAAGTTTGAAATCTATTAACATCTTTAATTCATGAGTCAAATATAGAAATGTATTAGAAATTGTCTCAATACCAGTCTCCCTCAGACCTACTAGTCTAATCTGCACATGACTCCTGTTACTTGAACTTGCCAATCTTTTTCCTACCTTGGGATCTTAAGTTTACATGTTCCTCTGCCTAGAGTGCTCTCCCCTCCAGCTCCCCACATGGATGTCTCCATTTCTCAGCTCCAGTGTCATATCCTCAGAGGGGCCTCACACACATATAATCACTATCAGATTTACTCCTTGAAGTCCATTCATTCCACTTAACACCATCAGGATTATCCAGCTTATTTGTTTACTTGCAAATTAGCTAATTTTCTCCACAGACTATAAATTCTGTGAATACAAGCATTCTGCTAAGCTTCCTCAGCACGGTATCCTCATTAAACATGCTGTGCCTGCCCTCGTAGATGCTTCCTTGTGAATGAACGAATGAATGAACGAAGAATAAAATACAGATCAGGCAACCACTCAAAATTTCCAGTCTTAAAGGAGTAAGAGACTTTAAGTTTGTTTCCAATGATAAGAAAAAAATCACCAGTTTGAAAATGCATGCACACAAAGGTTCGGCAACCCATGGAATGTATTAACAAATTACATTTAAACTTGGGTACAGAGGGCTTTTACTGAACTGAACTAGAACTCTTCTCTGGTTAATTTAAACAATTAAGGGGCATGTATTTGAAGTATATGGGAGTAGGTCATGGTACATAGGGCAAGAGTGCTGATGGGTTCAAGGGTACTTGGAAGCAGGAGCTAAAACCTTTGTGGTTCCTGGGCAGCTTCTTCAGCTGTCTGCATTATTCACTTGGTGCAGACTTTGAGGGAAGGCAGAACAGGCTTACTCTGTAGCTCCTCATTTTACTTTTCCTTTTAAGAGACCAGTCCGTTTCCGAATTCCCAGCGAGGAGAATTTGAAATCCCAGATTGAATTTGAATCAGTCACCAGTGGCCTCAGGGACAAGGTGGGAAAGTATAATAGGAATGCTTGAGCTTGTATCAGAGGGTCGGGGAACAGGTGAGAGGGTCATTTGTGGTCTGGGTGGACATCCAAAGGTATTTGCCACCAAAGATAGGAATGTTCAGTAGCCCAGAGAGATGTATGTGATGTTACTATTGAGTTTAAAAAGTAGATTATATATTGACGTTGGGGAGGGTATGTGCTATGGTGAGTGCTATGAAATGTGTAAGCCCGTTGATTCACAGACCTGTACCCCTGGGGCAAATAATACATTATATGTTAATAAAAATTTAAAAAAAAAATAGATAATAAAATTTCATGTATGATAGGATCCCATTTTAATAAAGCAGTAGGTAAGTATGTGTATACATGAAAAAATTTGGAAATACTGTTGCTAAAATACTAGCAATGGCCATGTTTTTTTTCTTTATGCCTTTAGTTTGACTTTTATGCATGTGTGAATCTGCATTTATTTTTTATACATTTAGTAAAAACTTCAAACTTAATATATAGAGAATAATATAATGAAGTACCTATTATAGTACCCATTATATTAGAACACTGGCCAACCTTATTTCACCTATTGCTACTCTTTTCTTTTAATGTATAAATATTTTATAGTAAATATATTCTATTTATAATTAAGAAATAAAGCATAAAGCAGATTTTTCCTTTTGGAAAAAAAGAGTAGGTAAGGTTTGAAATAGCTAGTTAACAATTTGGAAAAAAAATAGAATTAAATTTATACTTCATATTTGTGCCAAAATAAATTCCAGATGCATTAGAGATCCAAATTTAAAAAAAAAACACAGTAGTATAAGAAAACATAAACAAACTTATTTGGAATCTAAAGATTGGTAGATTAAATAAAATGCAGCAACAAGAACTATACATAAAAATCACCATAGACCAGGGTGTCTGGGTGGCTCAGTGGGTTAAGCCTCTACCTTTGGCTCAGATCATGATCTCAGGGTCCTGGGATTGAGTCCTGCATGGAGCCCCACATCGGGCTCCCTGCTTAGCAGGGAGCATGCTCCCCTGCACCTCACTGCCTGCCTCTCTGCCTACTTGTGATCTCTGTCAAATAAATAAATAAAATCTTTTTAAAAAAATCACCATATACCAAATCAAAAGGCAAGTGAAAAACCAGAAAAAAAATGTTGCATTTTGTCAGAAAATAATGCAATAACCAAAAGACAAATATCTGTAAGGATAAATGAGCAATAGATATGAATAGGAAGTCCCCAAAGAAGAAATAAAAATGGCCAATGAATGTATGAAAAAAATTTACTTGGGGGCACCTGCATGGCTCAGTGGGTTAAGCCTCTGCTTTCGGCTCAGGTCATGATCTCAGGGTCTTGGGATCGAGCCCCACATGGGGCTCTCTGCTCAGCAGGGAGCCTGCTTCTCCCTTTCTCTCTGCCTCCCTCTCTGCCTACTTGTGATCTCCGTCTGTCAAATAAATAAATAAAATCTTTAAGAAAATTTACTTATTAGTAATTGAAGGCACACAAATAACATAGTGACAGTACATGATTTTTCTCCTGACTAGTTGATAGAAAACCTCAGGGGAATAGCCACTCTCATAAACTATTGGAAATGTAAATTGTCAAAACCTTTCTTGAGGACAACTGAAAATGCATTATGAAAACGGAATTTGGAATACCGTTGACTTAATAATTACACTTACAGGAATTTATCATGGCTATGCATAAAGATGTGGGTAAAAATATATTTATCACAGTACTGTTTATAATAGTAAAAAATTAGAAATAACCAACACGTGCCCAAATGGGGAATTGCTGTAATAATTTTTAAGATTTTGGCATATCTGTGCCACGAATTGGCATGTTATGCCATATTTTATTTTATTTTAATTTTTTAAAAGATTTTTATTTATTTATTTGACAGAGACATAGTGAGAAAGGGAACAACCGCAGAGGGCGTGAGAAAGGGAGAAGCAAGTTTCCGGCTGAACAGGGAGCCCGATGTGGGGCTCAAACCCAGGGGTCCTGGGATCATGACCTTAGCTGAAGGCAGACGCTTAATGACTGAGCCACCCAGATGCCCCCTGTATTTTAAAATAATATAGAATAATATTTAATGACATATAAATCCAATTGAAAACAACTGGATGTCCACTAAACACAGTGTTAACTGAGTTTATCTGGGGGTATTGAGATTATGGTTGTTATTTTATTTTAGTTATGTATTTAATCTGCTTTCTAAGCATGCATTTTATAATAAGATGAGCAAACTATTTAAAAAATAGTGATTGTAAAGAATAAAAATAGTGATTGTTTTCAAGCAGTGACTTGGAATATATATGCTGTAGTTCTTTTTAATGATGCTCTGTCTATACAGACTTACCGACTTGTTTTGATTCTGCATTTTTCAAGAAAAAACTAAGAAAAAAAAACTAAGGAGGCAGTGTGGGGGAGGGATGTGAATTAGCTTTATGGCCTGATGTAAGTAGAAACTAAAAGAGCAGCTGTTATTATTAGAAAACTCAGTACTAAGAGATCTTTTTGTTTTATTAGAGTTTAAAGTTGAAGTTATTAATATCGAATAGGATTATTTGTTCAGAAATCTCTGTGCCACTGCAGTTTTATAAAGGATTATAATTATGACTACAATTGTCTCTCAATGCTTTTTTTTTTTTTTTGTCATGGGAAAATTAGCTAAATAAGAAAAAGAAGGTGTTGAAAAATCAGCGAGAGATACTGATTATGGCACACATGTCCATTTCTGTGCCCTACTAGTTTTAAAAACTTTGCCTGTAGATATCAAAACAGGAATTAGCTACTCTGAAAAGCAGTTGGTTATGATACATTATGACTGTTTAAGAAAATAAAAAAAATTTTTATTGAAATTATCTCCAGCATCCTTATGCTGTTGCCCTAATATAGCGTAATTCACATTTTGTCTTTTAATACCCAAATTCCTTAGAGTGGTAAAAGTTGTATTTAACTGATCTAATCAACTGATCTATTTAATCTGATTCTGAGCCTAGATTATTTCCTTTTTGGTGACTTTTTGTTTTTGTTTGTTTGTTTAAGATTATATTTGGGAATTTAAATATCTTTTTGTTCAGCACAATGACGTCCTAGAAAGCCTAGAATTGCATTCAACATTTTGGTCATCCTGTGAGTGCCTGTTTGACGACGATATAAGGGCAATTACATTTAAAGCAAAATTTCGTAAAAGCATGCCCTCCTTTGTGAAGATGTCAGATTTAGCAACATACCTGGAGGAAAAGCGTTCAGGTAAGATCTTTACATACGCGAGATATTGTTCATTTTACTACAAGCAAGGGAAGCTACCATTTATGGGAAAAATGTGTAATTAAATTGAAAGTAAAATATAGATCACCATAAGTAGCCCAACCAGATATTTGCATAACTTCTTAGCCTTCTGCCTACAATCCTTTGAGGTTAAGTTGTAATTATTAGGGATCACTTAAAAATAACCTTTTTGCATATATTTACAAGCAGCTTATCACTTAATGAGCCAGAAATAGAAAAATGGCCTTAACCAGAGTCACTGTTAAGATAAGCATTTTATCAAGTTACTAAACTGTTATCTATGCATGGTTGTTTAAATTTCGCATTGATACAGAATCCATGCGATTTGCTTGCTGCTCTAGTAAAATGTAATAGCATACTTCCTGAACTCACATGTTTGTGTGCGTGTGTATGTGTGTGTATAAGATTCATCCTCAGAAATATACTACATAGAAGATTGCCTTTGGTGATGGATTTTATATACATAGCTCACATGCTGTCCATGAACTTAATACCATTAAACTAACTAATTTTGAATGAGGTAGTAAAAGGAATATGCTTTAGGTTCAATATGCCATATACTTTGGAATGAAGAGAGTAAAAGTGAGAATAACTAAATAAATTGATGCAATTTTAGTGGGAAGTACTTTCCACTAAATTATTTTGGCTTCCTAAGTATAGAGTTATGCTGAAAGTATGCTAACTCCAAGTTAAAGGAGTAACAATTAAACAGCATTTGAAGCTATATTTCAGGTTGCTAAATGCCAATAATCAGTAAATTGCAGTGATTATCAATTTTGGAAACTACGGAATGTTTTCTGGTGGCTATTACAGCAATTGTTTTTATTTATTTATTTTTATATTTTTAATTTTAGTTTTTCAGTATTCCAAGATTCATTGTTTATGCACCACACCCAGTGTTCCATGCAATACGTGCCCTCCTTAATACCCACCACCAGGCTCAGCTAACCCCCCCACCCCTCTCCCCTGCAAGACCCTCAGTTTGTTTCTCAGAGTCCACATTCTCTCATGGTTCATCTCCCCCATCGATTTCCTCCAATTCACTTTTCCTTTCCTTCTCCCAATGTCCTCCATGTTAATCCTTATGCTCCACAAGTAAGTGAAACCGTATGATAATTGACTCCCTCTGCTTGGCTTATTTCACTCGGCATAATCTCCTCCAGTCCCATCCATGTTGATAGAAAAGTTGGGTATTCATCCTTTCTGATGGAGGCTTAATATTCCATTGTATATATTGACCACATCTTCTTTATCCATTCATCTGTTGAAGGGCATCTTGACTCTTTCCACAGTTTGGCGACTGTGGCCATTGCTGCTATGAACATTGGGGTACAGATGGCCCTTCTTTTCACTACTTCTGTATCTTTGGGGTAATACCCAGTGGATAGCAATTGTTTTTAGAGGGGAAATGAGTGCTGAAAAAAATAGGATGTATCTATAGGTTTATTGTTATATAATTTAAGTTTTTTAATGAAGAAGAAAATATTTGGTCAAAATATTTTCTCAGAATTTGTATAAATAAGATTACCATTTTTGGTGCTTTTATAGGTTAAATTATTATTTTTTTAAAAAAGATTTTATTTATTTATTTCATAGAGAAGGAACACATGCAGGAGGAGTGGGAGAGGGAGAAGCAGGCTTCCTGCTGAGTGGGGAGCCAGATGTGGGGCTCTATCCCAGGACCCCGGGGTCATGACCGAGCCGAAAGCAGATGCTTAACGACTGAGCCACCCAGGTTCCCCTATAGGTTAAATTGTTAAGAATAACTCAGGAACTTTGGATTTTTGTTCTAAATTTTAATTTTATCCTCCCATTTACACAAATAATTTTCTGCATTCTTATAGGTGGTTTTAGATTTTATTAAATGCTAAATGTGGTTTAAGTAAAATAAGATTATTTTTTTAATTCTAATAAAAACCTGTTCCAGAATGAAATGAGTTGAAACTCCTTAAGGGATCACATGCTAAAATTCTCAAGTGTATTTCTGGGACTTTTTGTTAGTGTGCTCTGCCCCCTTTTGGTACATCCCCAGAAATGTAAAAGTTGTGTCATAGCAGAGTGGAAGATATCTCAGATGCCTTTCTAATGTGGTTCAGAGTGTCAAATTTAAAAAGATTTTTAACAGAGTTTTTAGGGTATAATTTTTGTACAACAAACCGCCCTTAATTGAAGTATCCACATTCACACTGGTGAGTTTTGACACGAGACCCATCACTGCAGTCATAAAACTGTTTCCACAGTCGTGAAACCATTACCAGTCTGCCCCTTTGTAATCTCTCCCTTCCCTGCATACCTGCCCTCTTGAACCTTCCAGGCAATCAGTCTGTTCCTGGAGATTAGTTTGAATTTTCTATGATTTTTATATACGTGGAATCATACATTATGTACACCGTTTTGTTTGGCATCTTTAATGAAGCAAATTCTTTTGAGACATATCTGTGCTTTTGTGCATATCAGTAGTTCATTCCTTTTATTCTCTTGTTCAAATATACCATGGTGTGTCTGTCTGTCCATTTGTTGATGGACATCTGCGTTGTTTCCAGTTCTTGGCTCTTATAAGTAAAGCGTCTATAAACATTCATGTACAAAGCGTTATATGGACATGGACCTTCTTTATTCGTGAGTAAACCTAGGAGCTGAATGAGCTGAAGGATTATGTGGTAGGTGTACGTTTAATTTTAATTGTTTAAGAAACTGCCAAACTGTTTTCCAAAGTAGTTGTAGCATTTTGTATTTCCCCCAAGCAGTGTGTGAAAGTTCTGTTTTTCCCACATCCACGTCAACACTTGGTCTTTTTAATTTCTGTAAGAATAGATCATTGTGGTTTGAATTTACATTTTCCTGTTGGCTAACGATGTGGAGCATCTTTTCATCTACTCATTTGCCATCCCTATGTCTTTGATGAAGTGTCAACTGAAATCTTTTGTCCATTTAAAAACAAAGGGTTGATTACTTTCTTATTACTGATTTTTGAGAGTTCTTTATATTCTGGATAAAAATTATTTGTTAGATGTAGGCTTTGCAGATATGTTCTCCCAGTCTGTTACCAGCTCGTTCATTCTTTTAACCAGGCTTTTTGAAGACCACAAGTTTCGAATTTTGGTGAACTCCATTTTACCCATTTATTCTTGTATGAATTATGCTCTTGGTTTCCTACTTAGAAAATCGTTGCCTTACCCAGCATCTCAAACATTTACGTCTTACATGTTATTTTAGAAGTTTTAGAGTTTTAGGGTTCACATTTGGGTCCATGATCTATTTTGAGTTCATTTTTGTATATGGTGTGATGCATGACTAGAAGTTCTTTTCCTTTTTGCATATGAATATCCTGCTGTTTAAGCCCCATGTGTTGAAAAGATTTCTATTTTTCCCGTGAATTGCTTTTACTTTGTCAAAATCAGTTGTTTATACATAAGTGATCTATTTTGGGGCTTTCCCTTCTATTTTATTGATCTATTTGTCTGCCTTTATACCAGTACCACACTATTTTGATTACTGGTAGCTTTTATAATATGCCTTGAAGTCAGATATTTTTAGCCTTCCAACTTTGTTCTTTTTCAAAGTTGTTTTGGCCCTTCTAGGTACTTTGCATCTCCATGTGAATTTTAGAATTAGTTTGTCAATTTCTAGAAAAAAGCCTGCTGGGATTGTTTTGAAGCTATATATACATCAGTTTGAGGGAGAATTGACATAATATTGAATTTTTCAACCTACGAACAAGATACATCTTTTATTTCTCTTAGCTGTGTTTTGTAGTTTTCAGAATATAGGGCTTTCATATCTTTCCTCAGACTCCTGTTTTCGGTTTTGGGCTATTTGGTTTTTCTGCTATTGGTGCTTTTTAAAATTTCAGTTTTTTAACTGTTTGTTGCTGTTATGTAGAAATAGAGTTGATTTTTGCTTATCGATCTTGTCTTTTGTAATCTGGCTAAACTCACTAAGCTCAGTAATAACTGTTTGGTAGATTTAAATTTTCTATATAGATTATCATGTTACCTGTGAAGAAAGTTTCAATTCTTCCTTTCCAGTCTGGATGCCCCTTATTTATTTTTCTCACCCCTTTGATGACTTCTCTAATATAATATTGATAAAAAGCTGTAAGAGCAAATGTGTTTACCTTGTTTCTGATCTTAGGGGGAAAACATACGTTTTTTCATTATTAAGTATGACGTTGGCTTAGGGTTTTCCTCCATGCTTTGTATAAGGCTGATGAAGTTGCCTTTTATTCTTAGTTTACTGAAAAAAAAATTTTTTTAAAGATTTTATTTATTTATTTATTTATTTGTTGGGGAGAGAGAGCACACAGGCAGGCAGAGTGGCAGGCAGAGGTGGAGAGAGAAGCAGGCTCCCTGCTGAGCAAGGAGCCCGATGCGGGACTCAATTCCAGGACCCTGGGATCATCACCTGAGCCAAATGCAGCGGCTTAACCGACTGAGCCACCCAGGCGTTCCTGAAAAAATTTTTTTGAACAGGAATGAGTATTAGAATTTCTCAAATGCTCTTTCTCCATCGATTGAGATGACCATAAAGTTTTTCTTTTGCAGTATTTTAATGTAATTACATTGATTGATTTTTGAATGTTAAAACAACTTTGCATTTATGGGGTAAAACGTATTTGGTCATGATGTGTCCTTTTTGTATATTGCTGGATTTAATTTGCTGACATTTGTTAAGAATTTTTATGTCTGTGCTCATGAAGGATATTTGTAGTTTCTTTTTCTTCTTCTTCTTGTAATAGTTTTTCTTGCTTTTGGGATAGAATTAGAATAATGCTTATGGAGTGAGTTGGGATGTAGTTCCTCCTCTTCAGTTTTCTGGAAGAGTTTGTCGAGAATGAGAATGGTTTCTTCCTTACATGTCTGGTAGAATTCCTCAGTGAAGCCCTGTGGGCCTCCAGTTTCCCTTACTGGAAGGTTTTAACTACAGAAAGGTAGTGGAGGAGTACATTTAACTTACTTGGTGTCACGGTGAAGTCAGCTCTGTTGTCTACTGGTTACACAGGGCAGCTGACGCCTAGAATTGGAGACATAGATTTTAAAATAAAAATCACCATCATGAGCAGTAATAAAATAGGTGCTTATAGCTCTGAAGGTTTGGTTTGGGGGACGAGGCTGGGGATTGGGAGTGTCCTTGCAAATGCTGGAGATGAGCTCCCCATTGGTAAGCCATGCAAAGACTGGGTTGTTACAGTTAGTCCCTGGTAGGCTGTGTTCAGAGAGGGCCTTTAGCTACTTTTCATTCTCTTATGTTCAGCTCTGAGGGCTGAATTCATAGTTTCTGTCATTGTGTATATGTTTTTAAGACAGAAATGGAGAGAGCATATGGAAGTACAAGCAATTTTTTCCTAACGTGCTTCATAGTTAAATAAAAGGAGTGAGATAGGGAGCTCAATGTGGGAGAGTTTCTTGAGGGTCTGCTCTCTTAACAAAGCTTAACAGAAGCTGGATGGAGTGAAGCTGTGCCCAGCTCCTTGTCAAGAAATGAAGGTGCTTTACTCAAGCTCTGCCATTGGGCCCTGCCATCCTCAGAACATCAGTGCCCAGCAGGCTGTAAGCCCCTTGAAAGCAGAGTCCACATTAATCATGAACTTGTAATTCTTTTGTAGAGATGTGTAAATTTATAAAATGTGTGGAGGGATGTTAACGTTCTTCTAAAATGATTGAATTCTTTCATTAATTTCTTAGTGATACAACATGTCTGCGGCAAGGTGTGATACAGAGTGTGCTGTCATTTGCTGGGTCTGCTGATGGCTACACACTCTTGTAATTCATGTTAGGGATACAGGGCCTAATTGGAGAAGATGATGAAACAATCTTTGGGCACCAAAAGACCAAGGCAAACAGAAGGACTTAGGAATAGGAAAGTCACCATTAGTGGGTCTCTTAAAGAGATAACCTGAAAAGAGAATAGGTAGCCAGAAGGATGAGTTCCTGACCTGGATTAGACCACCTGCAAAAAGGATGAAGAAGAGCAAATCCAAAGGCTTAAAAAGGGCTTTCAGCTGACTCTGGAGAGGAAGGGAGAAGATAAACTCAGGTGAACTCCCTGACTTCACTAGTATACAATAAGGCAAAGGTAAATGAGAAAAAAAGAGTGTCTGGCAGATAACGATACTCAGTATTTGTTTAGCAGGTGAATGCATGAGCCAGTGAGAGTGCATGAACGTGCTTGAGGTCCTGGTGAGCCACATTTTGTAAGTGAGCACTCTCCGTGCTCACGTGCTCTGTAACCAATGCCCAGAGTATGGATGACGATGGGCAGGAAACTGGAAAAAAAAAAAAGTTTAAAAAGAGGATAAGCTAGTGGTATGTTTGTTTTGGATGAAGTAGAGACTGGAAGAATACTGACCTGGTATTTGGCTTTCAGCAATGATCAATTAAAAAGAAGTGAGGATGGGAAGAGAGAAGGTATGTTAGCTCATTTCAAGTATTTTGAAGGGATCGCTCCTGAAAGAGGGATAGATCTTATTTTGCATGATTCCGGAGGACAAGGAGGAAGGAAACACCCACCTGTACAGCCGGTCTAGCCAGAGCAATCTTCACTCTTAGTTACGGGTAGCAGCTGCTTACCTCTCACTTTTCAGAGTAAACACTGAGGCCGAGAGCCGATGAGATTGTACAGGGAAAGAGTGAAGGAGGGAAGACCAAGAATGAGTCCTTGGTCGTGTCCTTTACTATCAGTGACTCAGTCAACCATATCATGAACCACGTTCATAAGTTAAAGTTATGCTTTTGGTCCTATAATATATACACATTTCTTTTTGTCTCTTGTAGGAGTGATTCTAATCAAAGCCCAGATTTCAGAGCTAGTGATCCCTGTCCCAGCAGCTCAGAGGATAGCTCTTTGTGCCCGCAGCTCTCTGAGGAGCATCTTCTCTTCTCTTCCTGACATTGTATATACTGGCTGTGCAAAATGCGGACTGGAACTGGAAACAGACAAGAACAAGATCTATAAACAGTGTTACGGCTGCTTGCCCTTTACTATGAAGAAGCTGTACTACAGGTGAGGCAGCTAAGCAAGCCACTGGGTTGGAAAAGATTTATTATTCTTCAGCTGGACATGACCGAAACATTGTATATATCAATTCTTACTTTCTAATGAGAATTAACTAGAATTAATCCAAGAGAATAAAATTTTTCCCCTGAGTGATAAATGGCTATTTGTGAAGGCAAAAATTGTCCAGTAATCATAACAGGGACTTTTAAAAGCAGTAATTAAAAGATATTATTATCTTTAAGCAGCTATATTAAGAAAATTTTTGCTTGGCTTTATATTTTTTAACCAAGATCTAAATGGCTCATGAGAAACTGATTTCTATACTTTCACATATAACTGGAATTTAAAGGTTAAACTGTTCTGTGATCTAACCTCTCAGTGTGGAAGCTAATAAGGTATTTAACTTTCTGTGCCTCAGTTTTCCCAGCTTCACATTAGAAATTAAGGATTGCAAATGTTCTTTGGTAAAATTGCAAACCAGCTCTGTGAAAAACACATTTTTCAATCAATCAATGTCCAAATGCTTGTATAAATTTTTTCTTTTTACCTTGTAAATTACATGCCTTTATAAAATAATCATCACTGTTTCATGCTCTTTTCTGTTTCTAAATACTGCAGTATCTAAAAACTAAATACAGATGTATTCAGCATGTTATCATGTTATATGTTAAGAACATTTATAGAAGCTTAATCCATAAACCTTATTTCCCTTTACATATGTGTGTTATAAATAAGTAAATAAATTTTGCTCTTACTCTGAAAGTTGCTTGTATGGAAAATAAAATAAAATTAAGATAGGTGGTGTATAAGAAATATAGTTAATGAAAAAAAAGAAAAAAGAAATATAGTTAATGAAAATTGATTTCTTATCAATAGTTAAGGCTCCTTACAGAATGCGTGTGTTACTTTATATCATTCTTTTTTTTTTTTAAGATTTTATTTATTTATTTGGCAGGCAGAGAGAGAGGAGGAAGCAGGCTCCCCACTGAGCTGAGAGCCCGATACGGGGCTCGATCCCAGGACCCTGGGATCATGACCTGAGCCAAAGGCAGAGGCTTTAACCCACTGAGCCACCCAGGTGCCCCCTTTATATCATTCTTAATGTTCCTAATGAACGTGATTATTTATTGGGCAAAAATGTTACCCAATAAATATCCCTTATGGAGCAGACAGACTTTGAATCTTCAGTCTAAAAAATAACTATTCAAGAGAAGGACTTCACAGATCATTATCAGCTGACTATGGTATACCCAGTATGAAGTCTATAAGGTATGGTTCTAAACTATAATGCATTGAAGATGTAGTGCAAATGTTTTATGTTGCTAGAATGTTGATAGACATGCTAAAGCAGAGTTGTTTTGTTTATTTATTGAAAAGCCTTTAAATTGTTTTTAGGTTTAGGATTCAGATTATTTGGTTTCCTTAGAAAAGATTTTTTTTTAATTAAGGAAGTCTTGAGATTAGAGATTCCCTCAAGTTATCAAGTACAGTGATTCAGAAATCATTGCATGAGTCATCACTTATGATTCTATGTAAGTCAGTAGCAACTGAATAAGAAAAAGCTGATTGCCTAGTTTTTTTTTTTTTTTTTTTATCTTATTTATTTGACACAGAGAGATCACAAGTAGGCAGAAAGAGAGAGGAGGAAGCAGGCTCCCCGCTGAGCAGAGAGCCCGATATGGGACTTGATCCCAGGACCCTGAGATCATGAACCAAGCCAAAGGCAAAGGCTTAACCCACTGAGCCACCCAGGCGTCCCTCTGATTGCCTAGTTTTGAAAGACCCACACAATCGAGTTAGGTATCCACATATGTTCACCCAATATTTCTTACTGTGGATGCTATGCTGATTGATCTAAGCATGCTTCTTGTACTCAGAAACTCTTATGAAATACATAGTGAGCATTTGTATGGGATGACAGTCCCATGCTGTGAGTGGATCAGTCATGTTGGATGTTGCTTGTTTGTAACTTGGAATTGATTTTCCAGCAGCAACCTTAGCTCCATGGTTTAAGTCTCATTCCCGCCTTCAAAGGATTGCCCATATGCTGGTGACTCTCTGCAGCATCTCCACCCTGGTTTTCTCCTCCAAGCCCCAATATCTGATACTCACTTCCTCACTTGAATGTGTTTCAGGCAACCCACACTAAAAATATCCGAGATTGGCTCTCTTATTTTTCCTGTCTATATCAAACTTGGTTCTTCCCAGTTTCATACTTCCCAGTGCATGGTATCACTGTCTACCCCATTAACCTAGAAACCTGCACATAGGCCTTGAATCATCCCTTTTTCCTTACCTACCATGTCTAATCTACTGGCAAGTCCTAGGAATTTCATCCAAAACCGCATCACACATTCACCCACTTTTTTCCATCTCCACTGCTCCTCAACCTCAGGGGCACTAGTGACATCTCAGGCAGGACAGTGTCTCATGGTTAGGGTCCCCATACATTGCAGGTCATGTGACATCCTGGTTACCTGGCCTTGCCGAAACCCCAGTTATCGCAAAACCAGAATGGGAAGGCAGCACCTGCTGGTCCTGAAGCACGTGGGCCTGGTCGCGGCTGCTGCTCGGTCTTCCTGTCCTCCTTTGGCCTTGGCCCACTTCCGCTCATTCTCTACACAGCTGACCTAAACACCTCCAGGCGGGTTCCCTTCACTCTGCTGCCATGCTTTCCCTTGCTCGCTGTGCCCACCTCTCCCCTCACCCCCCGCCTTCTTTCGGTTCCTTGGACACCCCGCTGTTTTTGTCCTTAAGCTTTCTTGCATGTTCTTCCCTCCACCCGCCCCATGTCTTAGTTTAAACGGCACCTCATCAGCGGGGCCTTCTTAACCCAGCACCACGTGTGTACTCGCTGCAATTGGTACTTGTCTAGTTGTTTGATGTCTTCTCTAAAAAACATCTTTACTGGGCTAGAATTCAAACAAACCCATCTAGAATGTATGATCCATGGTTTTAGTGTATTCACAGGCTTATGCCACGACCCCACAGTCCATTTTTTTTTTTAAGATTTTATTTATTTATTTGACAGGGACAGATCACAAGTAGGCAGAGAGGCAGGCAGAGAGAGAGAGAGGGAAGCAGGCTCCCTGCTGAGCAGAGAGCCCGATGCGGGACTCGATCCCAGGACCCTGAGATCATGACCTGAGCCGAAGGCAGCAGCTTAACCCACTGAGTCACCCAGGTGCCCCCCACAGTCCATTTTTAGAGACACTTTCATCACCCATCACCCATCACTTCCATCACCTTAGCAGTCACTTCCTCCCTCCCTCCATCCCAGCATTTGGTCTGGTCCCACATTTTGGCTGTTATGAATGATATTGCTGTGAAGATTTGTGTGCAAATTTATTTTTTAAGATTTTATTTATTTATTTGACAGACAGAGATCACAAGTAGGCAGAGAGGCAGGCAGAGAGAGAGGGAAGCGGGCTCCCCGCTGAGCAGAGAGCCCGATGCAGGACTTGATCTCAGGACCCTGAGATCATGACCTGAGCTGAAGGCAGAGGCTTAACCCACTGAGCCATCCAGGCGCCCCGCTTATTGTCTTTTTGTCCCACTAAACTCTTATGATCCTGGAGTGAAGGAACCAGATCTGTCTTGTCTGCTAGTGTGCACCCAGTGCTTAGCACGGTGCTTGGCATGAAGTACATATTGAGTATGTGTTTGCCGAAATAAAGAATGGAGGAAGAGAGAGAGCATGGGGAAAGTGTAGAGTGAAAAAAGAGGAAAGACCTAGCATCATCGTGTGGGTGAAAGGGCAAGTAGGTTTTTTGAGGGAAAATCAGTACTGTTATTTGAACTGTTAATTCCTCTATATTAATGAGTCTGTTTCTAAAATCTGTTCTTGGGGCCCCTGGGTGGTTCAGTTGGCTGAGGGTCTGACTCTTGATTTCAGCTCAGGTCATGATCTCATGGGATTGAGCCCTGCATTGGGTTTCCTCCTCAGCTCGGAGTCAGCTTGTCACTCTCCCTGTGCTCCCTCCCTGCACACCCTCAACTTTATACTCTTTCTCCCTCTCTCTCTCAAGTTAAAAAAAAAAACAAAAAAAACTCTTCTCAACTTATTTTTAACAATTAATCTTTGAAAGAGGCAATATGAACCTGGTTAAAAATGCAACCTGTAGAGGAAGATATGAAGCCGGAAATTCTGCCCCATCTACCCTCCACCATCGCTGTTACTTCCTTGCTCATGGGAGGTTTTTGTATATTCTTCTAGTAATTTATCATGTCCACACCAGCACATATATATCCCTTTCTTTAAAAATATGTAGATAGAATACTGTCCATTTTATTATTCATATTATTTGTTCCGTGGAGTACATCATGGCCGGCCTTTCCTAATAGCACTTATAAACCTTCATCAGCCTTTTTAACAGCCACATGGTACTCCACTGTAGCACACGCTGAAAATTATTTATCTAGTTCCCTGCTGATTGACTCGCAAAACAGTCTGGTTTTGGTAGGGAAAAATCCAGTGGGGAAAAAGAACTTGAGGGGCATCTGGGTGGCTCGGTGGGTTAAGCCTCTGCCTTTGGCTCAGGTCATGATCCCAGGGTCCTGGGATCGAGCCCCACGTTGGGCTCTCTGCTCAGCAGAGAACCTGCTTCCTCCTCTCTCTCTCTCTCTCTCTCTCTCTGCCTGCTTCTCTGCCTACTTGTGATTTCTGTCTGTCAAATAAATTAAAAAAAAAATCTTAAAAAAAAAAAGAAATTGTGACTGAAATACTGTGATTATTATCTTTATTTATGTTTCTAAAGATAATATAGACAACAGTGTAAAAATATGTTTTCTTAGTATCTGAAATTTTAAAATGAATATGGAATAAATCAAATTTATTAATTGATCATTTGAAACTCTTAAAAAAAAAAGGGCTTTCTTTGTGTTTCAGAATGTCCTAGAGTTGTTTTAGGAATTAAAGTGAACCCTGCGTGGAAACCCAGTGCTCTTTCAAATTACATTGTACTTAAACGTTCCTTTAATTTGAACATGTTATTGAAGGTCCTGTGTTATTACTGTTCTGTAGGCCAGCTGTAATGACCGTAGCTGACGGAATACATGAGGTTTGCATCCATGTAGGATCCAAGCTGATGGAGAAGATTCTTTTCAACATTTCTCCTGACTGGCTCAACAGAGTTATAGGTAAGATAGCAGCACTCATTTCGGGGGCGTCGACAGTATATTGGAACAGAAAGAACACTGTAAATTAAGGTTTTTTTTTTCTGTCTGTGCAAAAGCAGAGGGATAATTTAGCTTGAGTGGAACAAAAAGGACAAAGGTGGAAGGTAAGACTTGCTCTCCACCTGCTGTGACAGCCATGCTCTGCCTTGTATCCCTGGTGGGTGGGGGGATGTCTTGTGCGGTCCTCCCCTCTCCCAGCAGTAGGGTACCGCTTATGCTCTGGATGGGGAGGCTTCCTGCCCCTCCCCCAGAGATAGAGGGATTTTTCTTTTATCTTTCCTCCACGGTCAGCCCTGGGCAATAGGATTTACCCACCTTTCTCCCTCAGTTTAAGGCTCTCGTTCCTTAGAGGAGCCCTGAATGGTGTTTTGTGTTTTCCCTTGTGGCAGCTTCTCCGCTTCTCCAGACTTCACCGTTGTTGGAAGCTTTCTCTATGTCCTGCCCTAGATCCAAGTGTGTGAACAGCACCTGGTGGGGACGAGGGTGCAGTCCCCCCTTACCTGAGACACTGGCCCACATTTGGCTTTTAGCGAGTCATGAAAAGTTGTAGCACATTCTTCCTTCTTGCCTGTTGGGTGCACGTGTCTTCTTTCACTGCTCGCTGCGATAACCCTGTGGTCTCCTCTGTCCTCTCTCGTTTCCCTCTGGCTTAGCTGCCTCACTACCTCGGCTGTCCTAGAGGCTCCATAAATTGTGACTTTGTAGTGTCTTCAGTTTTTCTAATAATTGTTAAGGTTGGAGCCATGTTCTTTCCAGCTTTTCACATCCTAACTGGAAGTCTGTGTGTTCTTTTTTATTCACTGTCTTTATTACTTTTCATTCTTTTGGCTGTTCCGTTCCTTCTCTTGGTGTTCTTTGTTGTATTTTCAGTTTTGTCTTTTTACTTTTGGCACAATATCAGTTAGCCTCCATTTCCCAGAGAAGGACCATTCTCAAATCAAGTCTATGTCTGCATTTTGCGCATTCCCGAGTCAAATGAGCTTCTCGGCATTAATTAAATCGCAACCCTAAGTGAAAATGTGGGCACCAGTTATAAAATGGTCTTCAGACCATTCAAATTATCTCTAATCTTGATTTTTTTTTAAGCTTATCTAAGTGAAAAATATGAAAGTTTTGAGTATTGTAAGAGAATTCCCTCACTGCCAAAAATATGTGATTGGCTGCCTGGGAGTCCGTAGAGGCAATCCAAGAGGGGCTGGTGGTGTTGGCCAGGGAACAAGTGTAGTTTGAGCATGGTTGGTTGTGCCTGGCCAGCCTAGCATCTAGCACCCCGCTCAGGAACTGGACTTAATGTCCTAAAATAAAATAAAATAAAATAAAATAAAAGGAAGCTATAAGACAAGTGCAAAAATACAGTGATATCTCTCTGTAATTTCAGTATTTTTATATTATCAAGATTTGATATTAAGTAACTAAGTCAGGGTTCTGTTATATAAACTAGATAGCTGATAAGAGCTGTCGACTGGATAAATGAGACGGCTTTTCTGACGTGGACACGCTCTTTCTGTGTCAGGCTTGACTCAGGAAGATGTCAATGTCAGTTCTTTCCTCTGTTGTTTATAGAAGCCAAGAGCTGTGTCATAATAGGAAATGCCACCGGTCCGAGCAGCCTGTCCGCCATCAGCGGGCATCGCGGGCCCTCATTCTAGAGCATCTTCAGCACCTGTGACTGGAAAGAGAGGGGATAGGAAGGGAAATTTCTGGCGGGTATGGGGCTCGAGAACCAAGGGGGGACGACCCCTTGGCTGTGTGCATTTCTGGCATCTGGGCAGGGAGCCTAAGAGCGAGTGTGTTTCCATGTTCCCCAGCGCCTCCCTCAGAGGTCACCTTCCGCGCGGTGGCCGCGGACCTGCTGCACTCGCTGCTGGCAGGTGGCGGCGCCCCTTGCGTGGTGAAGCTGCACAGCCTCTTCGTGTTGGATGAAAACAGCTGCCCGCTGCAGCGGGAGTTCTCGCTGCTGGATTTGTATCCCGACAGTGGCGAGCCGGGGCCCAGTGCCCTCCTCTGAGACCCGATGGGGAAACCGCGGATACTTCCAGGAAGACATTCCAGGAATGACGGGGCTCTACCCGGGTGTTTTAAAAAGATACGTATTTTTGTAAAGAGAATGATGTTAAATATATGAATTAAAACTTTTTTTCTAGGAACGTTCTGTGAGGTTTTCTGTCTGTTGTTTGGTCTTTTCCTTTCCTGCTTCTAGAGGAAGGGTCTGGCAATAAAGGCAATAGGTGGCAGTTCCCTGGGAATTACAGGTTCACTCTCTTGGTCCCTGCTCCGTTCCAGCACTCTGTGAAGGACTGAACACACAGACATTTCTCAAGAGTTGCTCTTCTGCCATGCTCACAAACTCTCAGTGCTCCCCGCCCCCCGCCTTTTTAAAATATTTTTTTAAAGATATTATCCATTTACCTGACAGAGACCACAAGTAGGCAGAGAGGCAGGCAAGGTGCGGGGGTGGGGGGGTGGGAGTGGGCGCCTAGTGGAGCAAAGATCCCAATGCGGGGCTCGATCCCAGGACCCCCAGACCATGACCTCCGCAGAAGGCGGAGGCCCCAACCCACTGAGCCACCCAAGTGCCTCCAGTGCTTTCCCTTTAATAGACTATCAGTGTGAACTGATTTCCTCGATTGTAACTATGGAAGCAGTGGGTTAGTTTGTATATCCTGAGAAAGATCCTTGACCAAAAATGGGTGTGGGATAACAAGCATTCTACTTGGTGAGTTAATTCCTGGGGAAGGAAGAGATTAAATCAAATGACTCCTGAGGTTTTATCCAACACCCAGTAAGGTGAGTGGGGAAAAAGTTGTCCCTGTGTTGTACCTAGAGAACAAAATGGTTGGCTCTCCCAGATAACTCATGTGATGGCTGATGAATCTCAAGGCCAGAGCTGATGTCTTCTAAGCTATGCTCTTTCAACTCTAAGCACAGTAGAAGCAAATCTGGAATTCTGATATAAATTACTGCCCAGTCTGTGTAAGCCCACGGAGAGTGCTGACCTCTTTAACTTGCCTTCCTTCACTTTGCCCCCAAGATGAGGCCTAGTCCTTTTATCAACCAAAACACAGCCTCCTGGAATAGAGGACCTTCACACCCTTTTGGGTAGAAGCCTCTAAGCCATTTCAAGTGAGACAAAGAACAGCAGGTCCCACCAGTATCTCTTCACAGTTTCTAGTATGTAGGGCGTAGGTTAACCCATTTTTCTAGGAACCCTTATTTGGGTTGAAAATAACTTCCTTCTGTCCTGAGGAAATTACCATGTATTTAATTTAAACAAATTGCCATCACTCCCAGGTGTACTCCTTACCCTAGACGTACAGGTAAGTATATTTAACCTACTCCACAGATTTTTATAAAACTCCATTGAGGAGGCTAGGAGCCTAAGAATGTCAGCCAATCCAACAGTCCTATGTCTGGCAATCCAATGGCAGACATTTTAGGTAAATCTCATTTTTCTTTCTTTCTTTTTTTTTTTTTTTAAAGATTTCATTTATTTATTTGACAGAGGGAGTGAGATTACAAGTAGGCAGAGAGGTAGGCAGAGAGAAAGGGGGAAGCAGGCTCCCTGCCGAGCAGAGAACCTGATGTGGGGCTTGATGCCAGGACCCTGGGATCATGACCTGAGCTGAAGGCAGAGGCTTAACCCACTGAGCCACCCAGGCACCCCGGTAAATCTCATTTTTCGTCTGACAGTTCAGCTGAGAGGGACAGTTCTCCCGTCTTAAGTTGTTTACAGCTAGTCTTCCATTAATGTAGGTTCACCTGAATAGGTGACAACATGGCTTTCTTAGAAGAAAATATCTCTAATTTCTCAGAACGATATAGAATGAAACAGAAAATGTCCCATCCCTATGTCTTTGATTTTAAATGATGAATTTGCATCCTGGAGGGTCTCTAGATGATGAAACATGGTTCACAGATCAGAACAATTAGAATAAAGTGTTCGTGTTTCCTGTTTTAAGGCCAGTAGGGTAAGAAATAGGTGAGGGGGAGGTTTGCCAATTAGTTGTTATTCTGTCTTTGGGGGTCTTAAACTGGGTTTGTTATCGGGAAGTTAACTCCATCCACTTAAGGAATACATTTGCTAAGGGTGAGCCGTCTGCTTCCAAGTGGAGGGGGAGGGACGGCCGTCTCTCCCTTGGCTCCCACTCAGCTTCCTGGGGCTGCAGGAGGGCATGAACTGACAGTGAGACAACTTCTCCCCAATCTCTTCCCCATCCCCGGAGGCCCAGCTCCTGCAGAGACTGGGGGCAGGGAGGAAAGCAGGACCAGGGACAATGGTTTCATGACAAATTGGCTCCCACTATGGTCCCTTCTTGGGGTGGTCCTGACCGCCAGTGCCTTCTGTGCAGTAGGCACCCAATGCTGCTCTTTCTAGAACACGTGCCGGAGCTCTTTGGAGGGCTTCTCCTTCTTACGCAGCATCTGCATGGTTTCTTGTCAGGGGAGATCAAGCTCCTGCCTGGTCTTTTCCACCCCTCCACTCCCTCCAGATGTCAGCCCTTCTCTTCATCCTGCCTTCTCTCTCTGACTCACTTCACTTCCTGCTCAGATACGCACAGTGCAAATTCTCCACATAACCAGACAGCAGATAAGCTGAGGGATTGTCCTTATTTACATAATGTATGTAGTACAATTCAAGTTATGTAACATTGTGATCATACCATGTGGAAGACTCTGACCAAAATGGTGTAGTGATTACCCTGGGTTGGGGGTTTGGGGCCTGGTTTTACCTTCTCCTTTATGCTTGTTTTTATCTGATGGAATTACTAGGAAAATTTCCCTAATTCCTGAAAAATACAAATTCCCCATATTAAAAAGATTTCTTACAAATATAGGAAAAGGTAATACGGTTTTGATCACAGAAACTACCACCAGGTTCTTCATGGGGCGGCAGCCGAGCCCACAACCCTATCCCTTCTCTGGGCCGCGTCTGTGTTTGGTTTGATTCCTTGGCAAAAACTGATTACTCACAGACAGCAGGTTACCTGCCTCAAGCTGGGCCAATCAGATTGTTTTTCCTGGAGTTAAAATTAAGATTTATACAAAGAAAAAATGCACAGATCTTAAATGTACAGCTTGCTGAATTTTGACAAATACATACATTCATGTAGCCAATACTCCAATCAAAATTTAGGTTTCCATCTCTCTAAAAGTTTCGCTCATTTCCACTTCCTGTCAATCCCCACCCATGCTAGGCAACCACTTTTCTGATTTCTGTCCCCATAGATTAGTTTTATCTGCTCTTGAATGTCAGGTAAGTAAAATCGTATGGTTTATATTCCTTTGTGACTTGCTTTCCTCACAACAGTGTTTTTGAGATTCATCCAGATTTTTATGTGACTTGGTAGTTCATTCTTCTTTTTTTTTTTTTTTTAAAGATTTTATTTATTTGACAGAGAGAGATCACAAGTAGGCAGAGAGGCAGACGCGGGGGGGCGGGGGGATGCAGGCTCCCTGCTGAGCAGAGAGCCCGATTTGGGGCTTGATCCCAGGTCCCCAGGATCATGACCCGAGCCCAAGACAGAGGCTTTAACCCACTGAGCCACCCAGGCGCCCCTAGTTTGTCTTCTTATTGGTGAGTAATACGCCAGTGTAGGAATATATTATCTATTTTCCGATCCAAGGTCATTTGGGTTGTTTCTAGTTTGGGGCTGTTATGAGTAGTTGCTCTGAACATCTTTTTTGCCAGTCCAGTTGTGGACATATGTTTTCAGATTTGGCTACGGGGTGGGGGGTAAATTCCTGTGACTGAGATTGCTGGCTTATAGGGTATCTATTTCACTTCAAAAGAAACTGCCAAAGAGTGCTCCGGAGTTGTACAACTTCACACGTAAGCCGTGTATGAGGGTCCCAGTAATTCTGCTTCACCCCCATTTGGGGGGCCAATTATTTTCACGTAGCCATTCTACTGGGTGTGATGCAATAGCTCACGGTTTTAGTTTGTGTTTCTCTGATAACTAATGTTGTTGAGCAACTTTTTTTTTTTAAAGATTTTATTTATTTATTTGACAGACAGAGATCACAAGTAGGCAGAGAGACAGGCAGAGAGAGAGGAGGAAGCAGGCTCCCTGCTGAGCAGAGAGCCTGATGCAGGGATCGATCCCAGGACCTTGGGATCATGACCTGAGCCGAAGGCAGAGGCTTTAACCCACTGAGCCACCCGGGCATCCCTAGCAACTTTTCATGGTGTGTCTTCACTTGTGGACCATCTGCTCAAGTCAGTGGTTCCTTTATTGTATTAGGTTGTTTGTCTTTTTGTATCATACTGATCACATCTACGTTCTAAATAAAAGCCAGCTATGCATGTGTTTAATATTTTTGAAGTGCCTATTCAGCATTAGAAATCATGGCCACATGATTTCAGAAGAAAAAAGGAATGTGTAGCTGTAACAAAAAGTCTTAAAGAAAATGTCACTATTTTGATTGGCTGGAATGTATATGCAGAAAAATAATCTTAGGAAACCAATCAAAAATATATTGGTAGGGGGACGCCTGGGTGGCTCGGTTGGTTGAGCAGCCGCCTTCGGCTCAGAACATGATCCCAGCATCCTGGGATCGAGTCCCACATTGGGCTCCTTGCTCGTCAGGGAGCCTGCTTCTCCCTCTGCCTCTGCCTGCCATTCTGTCTGCCTGTGCTCGCTCTCTCTCCCTCTCTCTCTCTGACAAATAAATAAATAAAATCTTTAAAAAAATATATTGGTAGTATGTTAATTACATAGAACATAAATTAATTAAACATAGCATAAACTTAAAAATGTTAAATGTAGTTATATAGTACCACACACCAATAATATACAGTTCTAAATATAATAAAAGTAATCATGCTTACAGATAAAACAAAAAAACATGGATGGCTTTATGGATTCAAAGGAAATGATTTAAAAGCCACGAGGGAAATATAAAGAGAAAAGAATCAATGAGACATTGTACTGTGCTCTTGCTGCTTGAAAAGATCTGACATGCAGAGCTGATTCACTAGTAAGCAAAGTCCCTGAAGGACGGCATATA